TGCTTTGGGGTGTTGAAGTAGCATCACTAGTGTTAAGACTAATCAGGCTGGAAAGCCAATCTAAGAAGCCCATATTTATGATTTTATTTCTCTAGAAGCACTCCTGGTACCAAAATGTGGGGGCCCCCGCCTGGACCGCAGCTCGGCCTCAGGCCCACCGGGTCACTCCCCGATCGCGAGAGCTGCAGTCCCCGGAGGCGCGTGGGGAGGGCCGGAGGATAGGCCTGGTAAGTCGGAGCCTCACCGGGGTGCCTTTCAAGCCGTGCTTGAGGTCAAGTTCGCCGGCCCACCCGCGGCCACGGGAGCGGCGGAAACGGGGGGCTGGCCCCGGCCGAGCTGCTTGTGCACACACGACTGGTGTTGGCCTAGATAGGCCTTAACAAGGTGCCCTTATTTTTAGATGGGCATTTCCTATTCACAAAAGTTTTACGTTTGTTCTGGCAGAAGCAAAAGACCTGGTTACTTGGGGTTCTTCCGCATCGTAGCACTTTTCTCACCCAATCAGCTGCGTATTTACGGGCGTTTTCTTTAAACAGTCATCCTAAATGCCCCTCGAGGGCGGGGCGAGGCCCCACCCACGCTTTTTCCGGGTTGGAAGTGCTTGGCCAAGTCTTTGGAAAATGAGCAGCGGTGCGAAGTGGGAACTTGCCGGTCAGCGGGCCCCGTGCCGGCCAGAGCTGTAGCACAGTCTGGAAATGCCCCCACACCTTGTACCTTGTGCCTTGCACATGTGGAGGGAGGAACGCCTTCCAGGGGCAGTAACTTCAAATGGCTGGCGTGGGGTGTGACGCCCTGTAACAAGGCTGGCGTGTGAAGACCTCCGGAGGCAGCCAAAGCTTAGCTTCTGGAAGGCAGTTATCTCCCCCGAATGCCCCAGCCCAGCCGAATTCGAACCCAGGGAGCCTGCCCGCAGCCCGGATCCATCGTAGGCTCCGGCCTGACTCCCCCACCCCGTCCTGACTCCCCCACCCCGTCCAGTCCCAGAGCTGGGGGCCTCCTCAGCCTTCAGGTCAAAGCCATTGATGTCGGGTGGGGTGTAGGCTGCTTCTCAGCAGTAGCTGCCCTCCCCACCCCACCCCCACCCCACCCCCACTTAATGGACAGTTGGAGGACAGTCTGGGGCTGTAGAAATTTTTTATATTTAGGAGTGAATTCACAGAGCTAGCAGGCAACAGTGTCACCCTGGAAACATCTTACAATTCACCTGTAACGAGCTCCAAAATGAAGCAATTACTTTTTGTAATTGGTGGGGGGAGGGGGGGTCGCAAGGGCATTTTAAAGTAATTGTGCCTAACGACTATTAGTATTTTTGTTGTTCTTTCAAGTGTGTGTAACATGCAACTATTTCGTATTTTGAAGGCTTACCATGTGCTCTAGCAGCTCGGGTGGAGTAGTGGTTACCATTGGGCTGCTAACTGCAAGGTCAGCAGTTCGAAACCAACAGCCCCTCCGAGGTAGAAAGATTAAGTTTTCTACTCCTGTAGTCTTGGGAACCCACAGGGTAGTTCTACCTTCCCCTATAGGGTCCCTCTGAGTCGTCATAGGCTCGGTGACAGTGAACTAGGACCAAGTGTTTAGAAACTAGCGGCTTAGCCCCCCTGTCTAGGTCTTGCAGCTGCGAGGGAGCAGGCTCACTGTCGCCCCTGCAGGCCCGCGCATGCACCCGCCCCAGCACAGCCATGGCCTCCATCAACATCAACCAGCTGCCCGAGAACACCCTGCTGGAGCTGTTCACCCACGTGCCTGCCCGCGAGCTGCTGTGGAACTGCCGGCCGGTGTGTAGCCTCTGGCGGGACCTCATCGATGCCGTGAGCCTCTGGAAGCGTAAGAGCCTGCGCGATGGCTTCATCACTGAGCACTGGGACCAGCCTGTGGCCGACTGGAAGATCTTCTACTTCCTGTGCAGCCTCCGCAGGAACCTCCTACGGAACCCCTGCGCGGAAGGTGGGCTGCTAGGGAGGAGGGGAGGGGAGGGGAGAGGAGGGGCCAGCACTGGCCTGGTTCCCTCCCTTTCCTGAACCTCAGGCCCTTTGCCCTTGCTGTACGCAGATCACCTAAATATTATGAACCCAGCACCCTTGTAGGCCTGGCATGGCCAGTCCCTCCTCCAGCTCTCAATTCAGATATGTGCCCTGATACCCCCACCCCCACCAAAAGCAGTGCTCCCGTGCCTATCATGTCACCCTTAGTTCCTTCGGAGCGCTTCGCCAGCCCGTGTTGTATGGGTTTGTTTGCCACAAACAGCTGCTGTGCCAGGGACATGGGTCTGCAGCAGAGCCTCACTCAGCAGGTGCTGAATGACCCACCTTCCTGTTAGTTCCGTCCATGCTGCCGAACACCTGTTGAGGGCTTCCGGGGTGTCAGGCGTTAGCCTGAAGTCCTGGCAGCTGTCATTCACACCAGCTGCTCTCAAATTGCTGTGACGCCTGGGGGTCCAAGACCTGTTACCAAGGGGCTTTCAGCAGCTGCTTTTCCAGTTCAACAGGCTTTCTCCCCGAAGCACGCCTATGGGAACTGCCACCTCCAGCCTTGTGGTTAGCAGCCTAATGGACTAACCATTTGCACTACACAGGGACCCACGGGTGTCAGCCTCACAGGTTACCCTCATCAGGGATCTCGAGAGGGCAGTGAAATCCACGGCCCTGGTGCCTGCCAGGGCTTGTGCCATCTCCTTCACTGCTTAGTCTGGACAAAACATGGGGTTCCTCGTGGGGCTGCAGCAGTCTGTGCAGGGAATCACTTCCATTCTCTTTATCCTCGTGGGGACCCCTGGGAACAGGCTGAAGTAGGACTGGCTCCACAGTGTCACTAAGATGCTTGGGCCTCAGACTCTGAAGGACCTGAAAATGCTAGCTCTGCAGCCTCGAAGCCCCCTCGAAGGCCCCACTGGCAATGCCCTGGAGAAGACATTCCATCTCTCTGCCTGCCCCAGAGTCCACTGAGAAGGGGCCCAGCCAGGCAGCTTTGCCCTGTTCAGCTCCTACTGCCCCACATGGCCCACAGCCTGGCCTTGGCCCAGCCTTCCCTGCCCGCCTTTACCCCTACATTATTAACGGACAGCCTCGGGAGAGAATTGTTATTTCCCACTCCTCTTTTAAGTTCAATCTGAAGTGGGAGGTGAGGACGAACCCCCTTACACCTCTGAACCTACTGATGTTCCTTCCACAACAAGCTCAGGGCATACTTCCGGCCCAGAAGCTGCCTGTCCTGTTAGGACCTGCTCCGCAGAGGGGGCCTCTGAGACTCCTCAGGCAGTCTCCCTTCACAGGGTCCATGGGCTCCTCCATCCTGGCCACAGGGCAGCTCAGAAATGGGACAAACCCATGCCAGTCATGAAGCCGGGGTGGGGGGGGGTGTAGACCCATCACAGGCCCTGGCATAATGTTATTTTTTGAGAACGGAGACCTGGGTATTTCCTGGAGCCCCGGGACAGCATGGGGGTGGGAAAGGTTTGTTTTAGAATGTCTGGAAACATTCTGTTCCCCCAGCTTCATGTCAGGCTAGTCGGGGACAGTGGGAGGGAGGGGGGCCTAAAGGAGACGTCTGGGGAGGATGGGTGGGAATGTGTGGCAGAGGGCCAGTCCGAGGTACGTAGGGTGGTAGCGTGGGTGCTGCCCTGGGATGCATCTGGCCTTTGAGAGGGAACAAACTGGTTAGCCCGTCCACAGCTTCAGAGCAGCAGAAAGTCCCGCCTTCCGGGTGGCATGCTAACTGTCCCCCCTCACGGGCCTGCTGGGAGACCTGGGATCTTAGCTCCACTGGTTTTTCTCAGAGGACATGGGAGCCTGGCGAATCGACTCCAATGGGGGTGACCGCTGGAAGGTGGAGAGCCTCCCAGGAGAACATGGAACGAATTTTCCTGACCCCAAAGTCAAGAAGTACTTTGTCACATCCTACGGGTAAGACAAACCCAACCAAGCACCCTGGTGGGCCCCTGGCAGCGTTTTTTGGGAGGGAAAAGGCAGCGTTTTTTGGGCGCCTGTTCATAAATTTCAGGCCTAAGCAGGGGTGCATGTGAAGCCCGTGGGCACTGGTGCTAGCACCAACTCAGGGCCTGCTGCTTCCAGGAACAGGGGGAACGCAGGGGCCGGAGTAACAGATGGAGGTCATGTTCAGGTGGCCAGCATCCCAAAGGTGCCTCTACAGGCTGCCTCTCATCTAGACACTCCAAAGTCTCCCCAGGGTCCTGGGCCAAATGCAGGCAGCTGACACGGGATACCCACATCCTGCCCGGGCAGGCTGGGATCAGATGGCACCCACGCACAAGTGGGTCATGCCTCCTACCTGTCTCTCAGGCCTTTGCCCAGGTATGAGCAGGAGCCAGCCCCAGCAGTGCTTGTCTTACCCGTGGTCTGGGGACATTGCTGAGTGTGGATAGAATGCCAAGGCTCAAGGTGGCAAGCCCAGAGCTAGACTGCCTCTCTGGGTCCACAGGGGCTGGCTGCCAGGGCCTGGGCAATTCCATGAGGAGTCCAGCTAGGGTTGCAAGCTTTCCTTTCTGTCCCCAGCATGTGCCTCAAGTCCCAACTGGTGGACCTCAAGGCCGAGGGCTACTGGGAGGAGCTGCTGGACACATTCAGGCCCGACATTGTGGTCAAGGACTGGTGAGTGGGGCTCATTGCATTCCCAGACTCTGCACCCCCTTCTCTTCCTGCCACACTTGGTGAGAGAGCCCAGGAACACAAGCCAGCCTCCCTTTGCCCAAGGAGCCAACAACGTTTGCCCATCCAGCAGCCGGTGAGCCTCGCTGCCACCATACAAGGGGGGATATAAGCCCAGGGTGCAGTTGGGGAGGCCTGACTAATGGACGTGGAGCAAGAGACGCCCACACCCCATCCTCCCGGGAACGCACAGACGTTCCCGTCCCCCAGCCCCCATCAGGTCTCCCAGGTGCCTGCTATGTGCACAAAACTTCCAGGACCAGGCTTGGCCACAACAGAAGGTAGGGCCCCAGTTTCATCGAGGGTCCCATGGCAGCTGCTCAGAAGGTGAACGGAGTAGGGTCCGAGTGGTGGGCTGAGCAAAGGGGGAGCTCTGTGCCTACCCCCATCACATAGGCCCTGGGCCCTCCCATTAAAATGTCACAGCTGAGCCCGAACAACATGCAGGGAGCAGAATTCAGAGAGACCAGGCCCTTGCCTCAGTACGACTTGTTTCTTGGGGTGACCTCTTCACAGGATTACCTGTAGGAGTTGCCCGTTTGCTTTGGGCAACTGAGGCCCCGTATGGATAGCCCATCACCCCGGCCTATGGCACATTGGGTGGAGGGAGCCCACCAGCTAGGGCACACCTACGGCCTGGCACTGATCTGCCAGCCCCACCCAGGTTCGCCGCCAGAGCCGACTGTGGCTGCGCCTATCACCTCCGTGTGCAGCTGGCCTCTGCCGACTACATTGTCCTGGCCTCTTTTGAACCGCCACCCGTGATCATCCACCAGTGGAACGATGCCAAGTGGACGGAGGTGAGGCCTCACCTGGCTGCCTGCCCTGCCTGTTTCTCCACTGGGATCTCAGGTTGAATGACCCCCCATCTTACTCCCTGCCGCCCCCAGGTCTCCTACACCTTCTCAGACTACCCTCCAGGCGTCCGCCACATCCTCTTCCAGCACGGGGGAAAGGACACCCAGTTCTGGGCTGGCTGGTACGGGCCCCGTGTCACCAACAGCAGTGTCGTCATCAGTCACACAATGACTCGGAACCCGGGGTCCCCAACAGCCCAGCCAGAAGACGAGGCCAGGGTGGCCGAAGGCTTCCCCCTCTTCCTCTCCTTCTACAATCTGACCGGCCACCCAACACTGCGGCTTCTGTCCAGGCCAGTCGAGGGCCGGAGGTCCCCTCCTAGTAACAGCTGAGCCTCTAGTAAGCAGTTGCCCGGTTCCCACCTTGGGCAAGCCACCCAGTTGTGGTCACTTAATTCGTCACAATAAATGTTTACAGTAACACCCACCGGGGGCTGGGTTTGGGCAGGAGACGGGGAGAGCAGGAGGTTCCCAGCACTTGGAAAGTCAGTCCTGCTCCCCTGGGTCATTTAATGCCCCTGTCTGTCCCTCCCGGGCAGTGAGTGCGAGATCAGCTCAGCCCTTGGGGCCCTTTTATTGAACAGCTCCCAGCATAGTGCTGGGGACAGTGCTGGCCGCCTGAGCCACAGGAGGCTGAGTCCACAGTCCCAGCCCTTCACTGCCCTCCCAGAGTCCATGAAGGGGACCAGACCTGCGCATGTGGACTGGAGGGCGGCGGTCCACACACAGGCAGTAAGAGCACTTGGAGTAGAAGCCCACGGTGCCGCCCCAGGCGGGGGCCCCCTCAGTCCAACAGGTGCAGCATCCGATGTGGGGCAGGCACACCCTCAGCTGCTTTTATGAGCTCGCTCTTCCACATAGAGTTGCATCTGATGGAAGGAGCACACGACCATGGTCGGGGGGCAGCCAGGATCCTGCCAAGAGTGAGCTGGCAAGGCCAGAGCTGGGCTTTTGAGCCCCCTCCCCCAAGCCTTGATCCACAGGCCCGGGCTGGCTCTGCCCCACCACCAGTTGCCCAACCCCACCTTTAAGATGTCCGACGTCATGGTCTTCAGGGGTATCAGCCGGGGGTCATGCATGTGGACATCCTGCTCATCTGCCAGGATCCAGGGGAAGTCCTGGGGAGGGGGCTGAGGTGAGAGGGCGGGAGGGGCTGGGGGCTGGGGTCATCAGCTTTAGGGAGCAGCAGGGGCACCAGGCACTACCGCCAGTGCTGATGCCCTGAAGGAACCATGTGATGGACCAGCCCCAATTCTGACCCGGGGGGCCAGGGTACAAGGGCAGCCCCAGCAGTTCCAAGTACACAGGGCATTGCCCAGTGACCAGGGCCCTAGGCTTCTCGGGGGCTCTCAGCTGTCCCCTCTCACCTTGATGACTTGGATCTTCTCCATGTTGCGAGTGGCCGCTTCTCTCGTGTGCACCAGGACGGTGAAGGTGCAGCCTGGAGGAGCGGGAGCTTGGTCAAGGCCGGGCTGCCTAGCAGAGCCATTCCCCCTCCCTAGCTGGCCTGGCAGCCCAAGGGTGGGCCCTGACCCCTACAGGGCAGAGTGCAAACCAAATGCTAGGGAAATGCAGTCAAAGGGGGGTGGACCCAAGCCAGGTGGAGTCAGTCAGGGAAGCTTCCTGGAGGAGGTGGGCTTTCAGAGGGACTCTAAAGGGCAAGGAGGGAGTGGTGAGGCCCAGTGCAGCCTAACAGGAACCTGGGAACCCAGACCAGTGCAGGCAACTTCCAGAACAGGCAGGATCGGGGCACACCTGGGGGGTTGTGGTCCAGGACGGCATCACACACACTGATCTTTAGGATGAAGGCTCGGAGTAGCTGCTCCACATGGGACAGCAGGGAGTCTGAACTGGGAACAGAGAGTAGGGCGTCTCCCACTGTACTGGAGCCCCACCCCCCCCCACCTCCATCAACCAGCTTCCCCTCATCCCTGGGAGCCAGTCTGGAAGGCCAGACACCCTCGTGTGGGTCTGAGGGCCTGGCCACCTGTGGAGCCTGAAACAGAATCACCTGGGAAGTTTGAACCCAAACACCAGCCCCACCCCAGACCAATGCAGACAGAATCGGGGGCTAGGGGGGAGGTTCTTTCAGGGGTTTGTGTGGAACCCCTGAGGGGTGCTGACAGTTCATGGCCCCTCAATGTGAAAGATTGGAGGTTCAGGGCCGTCCCGAGTTGCCTCAAAAGAAAGGCCCGGCAATTTCCAAAGAGATCAGCCATTGGAAACCCTCTGAAGAGAGATCTGCCCCGACACAGGGGTCAACTCAGCGATGGGACAGAATGAGCAGCCAGGCTGAGACCAGAACGCAGGCCAGGCCTCTCCAGCCTGCCGGACCCCTGCTAGCATGGGAAAGGGCTTGCCCACGGCCACACAGCAGGCTTCCCTGCTCCTCCTTCGGGATCCATGCTCTGCTGGCAGTCCCAGCTCTGCTGTCAGCTTGGGTGGCTCCAGACAGCTCCTGCCATGTCTCTGGGCCTCGCGTTCTCTACAAAATGCAGCAGGGGCTAGCCAGTCACCAACACCGTGACTTCCCCGGTGTGAGAAAGGAAGGTGTGCATGGATGCTGGCCTCTCACAGGCCGAACTCTTGTAAGGTCAGCACATCCTTGCCATCTCTCCTCTCGGCCCTCTGACCCAAAGGAGCAGGTGAGGAAGAGACCCCCAGGGAACCTCACCTGATAGACAGCAAGGGAGGTTGGGTGATTTCAAAGACAAATTTCTCCACTGGGCGGTGCTCTTTGTCCAAAATGACCACCACCACTTTCTCCACGTCGTTCTGCAAGGACAGGAACTACCCACTCCAAATCCGGCACCCAGACCCACACCCCCCTCCCCCAGGAAAGCTAGGAAGGGCATGCCTCCAACTCGGCTCTGCCTCTGGGGTGCTGGTACCTTGGAAAGCAAGTTTAGGAAGTTTGAAGAGGGTAGTTCAGGCTGAGAGACCCAGGGATGCCTAGGCCCAATGGGGGTCTGAGGATTCTCAGGGACCAGGACAAGATAGGAGGGAACCCCAAGGGAGCTGAGCCCAAGGAGACCTTGAGGAAGTCAGTGGGAGAGAAGTAGAGATGGAAATAATCCAAAACCCTCCAGGGCAGGTACCCTCTAAAGAGGCAGCCCCACTACCCCAAAGTCACCCTGAACACGGTCCCCATGCCCCAAGGCCCATCCCGGGTGGGGGTAGCCTCCAGATTCAGCTTAGGCATCTGGGTGTTCACGTCATGAGGACCCCTCATGGCACCAGCCTATGAGGGTGAAAGAGCAGGCTAGGCAGGCTGGTGCCCTCACCTTCTCCAGGAGTGGCTTGACGCAGTGCAGTGTGTCCTGGATATACCGGTTCAGCTCCGGATGGCAGGACATCTGTACATTAGCATGGGGGTGGCTGGTGAGGCCCACAGTGGAGACCCAGCCAGCACCCAGGCCCAGCAATACCCAATGGGCTCCCTCCCCTGAGACACTCGGCTTCCCGTGCTGAGGCCAAGAACTGTGAATGTATCCACAAGGAAGGGAAATTGGACTATCAGGCTTCTAGAATCCAGCACTAGCATTTAATACAGCCCTGGAGATTCCTAATGTGGGGTCTTGGGGCGCTGGGGACTCAGTGGCAGAAGCCTTGCCTTCCATGAAAGAGACCAGGGGGTCGATTCCTGGCCAATGTAACTCATGCCCAGCACTACCTATCCGCCCATGGTGGTTCCCATGTTGCTAGGATACTGAGGTTTCAGAGGTGCTTCTAGACCTGGATGGACTAGAAAAACGCCTAGCAGCCTACTTCCAAGATTCAGCCAGTGAAAACCCTATGAACCACAGCAGCATTTTTTCCAGAGAAAGAACCAGAAATAGAATAAAAATCCCCGAAGTTAAGAATCTGAGATTCTGGGGGTACGGGAATGCTCTAGGCTGGATGGGGTGGAGATGGTACGATTCAACTTTGATATGTTTGAAAGATTAACTATTCAAGTCTATGATATGCATATTATGTGCCAATAAAACTGTTGTTTTTTAAAAAGGGATCTGAAATTCGGTAGTTCTGGGCCACAGACAAATGATTTAATCTCAGTCTGAACCTCCGATTACTTCGTCTGCGAAGACATCAAGAGAAGTGGGGATGGAGTGGGATCAGTGCCTACGATTTAGGAGCCTCAATAGTGCTGATTGGGCTGGGAAAGGGGGGGGATGAAAAGAGGAAGGGAAGGCAGGGAGGCGGCAGGGCAAGCGACAGGACACTGAAGAGATTGCAGTGGATGAGCTGAATCAGAACGTGTATGAACGACGACGACTTTAAACTAGGATCTGCTCTGTAAGCCTGCACTGATTCACAACAAAAAAGGTGGTTTGTTTTTGAGTAAATGGCTGACTCATGTTCACTTCTTCAAGGTTCCCATTGTCTGGCATTTCTTCTAGTATTGACTGGGTGCCTTCTGAGTTAGGCGTCCTGGGGGTATAGCGGACTTTGCTCAGGGCAAAGTCGGCTCTTCAAACCCACCAGTCCAGTGGTAGCGCGAGAGAGGCATTCTACTCCCTGTAAAGAGTGGCAGCCCCGGAAACCCACAGGGGCAGTTCTACCCTGTCCTCCAGGGTGGGGATGAGTTGGCACCCACTCCAGGGCAGCATGTTTGGTTTGGGGTGTGGGTTCCGAGTGGCAATCCTGACTAGGGATCAGGGGTACAGCATTAAAGGTCACCGCGTTGGTTTTTTCACCTAAAACAGCCTACTCGGTTCAGGGTGTATGAAGAGTGTGATTGAGTCTGAGGTTATGGAAATCCCCTCTCCAAACTAGAATTCAGGGGGCACTTTTCAAATGCAACCATACCTGCAGGGCAACTCTAGTTATTAAAGTCCCTAACCTCTGGCCAGGGGAATACCGGGTTCTGAGGCGTTAGGGAGGTAACGGGAGGTCTGTAGCTGTCGGGCAAGTGAAAGGCGTGGGCGGCCTCCGGGGAAAGTCGGGACTGAGCCGGAAGGCGGAAGGCGGTTAGTCTAAAAAAGCCCGTCCTCTATCCAGTCTGCAATTCTGGCACCACCTAACGGACAAATGGACAGCAGAGAAGACTCCCCGGTGTGCCCGGCGCGGCCGTGGCCCTCACCTGGACCGGCACGTTGTACTTCTTACGCTTCTGGAAGATGCCCACTGGGTAGACCTCGCGCACGTAGAGAATCAGGTGCACCGCCACCTCCAGGAACTCGCAGAGCACGTCAGCCACCACTGCAGAGGGGGCAGAAGCCAGCCTGCTCAGGGACACCAGATGGCCTGGACCCACCCGGCTGCCCCAGGGCCGCAGGCCCGGCCTCCCTACCTTGGCCAAAATTGAGGTCCTGCCGCGTGAGCGTGGTCATCCTTCCTGCCACCTGGGGGTAGGGCAGGGGCAGGCTGTAGTTCTGAAGACCCGCCTCCTCCCCTGCCCCCTCCCTGCCCCCTGTCTGGGGGCTATGGTTAGGGCGGCCCCTTCAGAGAACCAGGGCAGCTGGGGGGTCCCCTCCACGCTGGCGTCGCGGCCTGGACGCCCCGGGTGCACCCCGTCCACGGGCCGCCCGCGGCCCCTCGCCTCACCGTCTCCGGGAAAGGCAAGGCTCGCGCTGCGTCTGGAGTGGCACCGCGAAGCAGGCGCAGAGGGGCAGGGCCGAGGCGCAGAGCGGGACAATCAAAAAGCGAAACTAGGGACAACCGA